CATCTATAATTGGGGAAGTCAGTGGCCCTAGGGGCACCCCTCAACCAAAAGGGGTGGGAGTGGTAAATGCCCCAGCCTCTACCTGAGCAGTATATACCTGTGAGGTCTACACATGTCTTCAGAAGGTCCCCAAGTGGGCTAAGACCCAGCTGCCTACCATGGTAACCACCCTGTAACACATTCTTCTACTGGTTCCTCCCCCACTGCTCGGCACATCCCACAATTCTGCTTCCCAGGTTACCCGCCGAAGAACCTAATTGTAGTTGAGACCTCCTAATGGGATGTGAGGCCACCAAACCCCAGACACTTTCTCCCATCTATGAAGTGAAGGATTTGGACTAGACACCCTCGTGGGTCCCTTCTAGGTCAAGAAGCACCTCAGCTTTTAGAGAAGAGAATTATTTCCCCAGAAAGTCCTGCCAAGGTCACCCAGCTGATTAATGGCACATGGAGCAAAGACCTAGCATGAAATTGTCTTGCTATCAGTTTTCCCAGAACCATATCTACAGTCATTTCAAATAAAAAGTCCCACATCACAATGCTTAGAAGCAGTAAGCTAATAACACTCAGCCTCTATCCAAGAGACACATCTTAGAACTTTATGGAAAAGCATGGACATCTGAAGGCAGTTTTGGCTCTCAGAGCCCTCATCCAGCCAACAACTTCACAAGAGACAAAAACATAACTGTGTCTTTTTGCTGTGACCTGCAGTAGGTGTGATAAAACACCCTTTCAGTTACCATGGGGGCTTCTCCATATAGGAAATTCTTCTGTTTATTAGATGCAGCTCTCATCTACGTTCTGAGAAGTTGTTTGCCCAGTTTATGTAAGGTAATCAAAATATCAGAAGGCTGCTTTATAGAAGGAAAAATATTCATGCTCTTGTGTAATTTATGGAATGTGTATGCATAAACGTACTTGATGGATTTTCACCAGAATTCTATGTTAGTGAACATAAAGGTTTGGATAGAGACCCCAAAGTGATGGAAATGGACTGAAAATAACCTCATGTTATATATACTGCCTGAACAGCAAGCCTGAATGGGCATATTGGTGATTAAGAATGCTTTGATAGCAAACTGGATTTTGGTTAGAAATCATGATGTTATATGATGAGAAAAGTGCTGAACCAAGAGAGATTTCTCTGACTTCAGATTCTTCATTTGCAAAGTAAAGAAAACTAATTAAAATATTTGTGGTGGATTTTTAAGCTCTACAAGTCCATAATTCATTGATTTTTGCCTGTCCTGCCTATTGTGAGGAGAGAAAGAAGCTCACTGACTAACTGGGTTTTTTCCAACACTGAAAACCAGCTGTGATTCTCCAGAAATCAACGTTCAAGCCTTCGATTCAGTTCTGACACTACCAGAGTTAGCACAGACTAAAGGCCCAGTCCCACAAGACCGCACCCCCGCTTCAGAGGCCAGCCTCAAGTCTTGTGTCACCTGTTCTTCTGACCCACTGGCTATAAATTAAGAGTCTATGACCCCTTCCTCAGGTTCAATAATTTGCTAGAACTACTCACAGAACTCGGGCTTCCCAGCAGGAGCTGCAGGAGATGCAGGTTCAATCTCTGGGTCGGGGAAGATTTCCTAGAGGAGGAAATGGCAACCCACTCCGGTATTCTTGCCTGGAATGTCCCATGGACAAAGGAGCCTGGCGGGCTATAGTCCATGGGGTCGCAAAGAGGCAGACATGACTGAGCAACTGGATACACATGCACTCACAGAACTCAGGAACCCTCCTTACTTACATTTACTGGTTTATCATAAGGATACAACTCAGGAAGACCCAAACAGAGGAGACTCACTGGGGATGGTCTAGGGGAGGTGGAATTTCCATACTCTGAGTGTGCCCCACTCCCAGCTCCTCCATGTGTTCCCCAGTCAGAGCTCTCTGAACATCAAACATCTGTTATTCAGCTCAGTCTCTAGCCTGTTCTTTTTCTGGAGCCTCTCCCCTCTCAAGGTGGGTCTAAAAGTTCCAATCCTCTCTAATCACTTGTCTTTCAGGTGACCAGCCCCAGCCTGAGGCTTCTGGGATCGGCATCCTAACATAAATTCAAGTGTGGTCAAGAGGCTGTTTGTGAAGAACCAAAGGAATCACTCAGGAAATCCCAAGGATTTAGGGGCTCTGTACTGGGAACTAGGGACAAAGACCACATGTTTATTACACCACGCTAACCATGTGACCTTGGCAAGTTCTTAACCTGCCATGACACAGTTTCCTCAGCTGCAAACTGGGCATGCAGATAATAGTACTTCCCTCAAAGAGATGTCATGAGGATTAAGTGAATAAACACACATAAAGAGCAGTAGGATAGTAGCTAGTACTCAGTGAGCCTCATATAAAATTTAGTTGTGGTTATTTAATCTTTTTAATTAGAACTGAAAGGTAGAGGTCAGCCTGGAAAAGGGAATAGTCAGAATGACTCAGGAAATGAAGTGCTGTTTATAAAATATATGTTGTTGCTGTTGGTCAGTCACTAAATCATGTCCAAATTTGTGACCCCATGAACTGCAGCATGCCAGGCCTTTCTATCCTTCACTATCTCCTGGAGTTTACTCAAACTCATATTGGTTGAGATGGTGATGCCATCCAATCATCTCATCCTCTGCCGCTCCCTTCTCCTCCTGCCTTCAATCTTTCCCAGCATCAGGGTCTTTTCCAGTGAGTTGGCTCTGCATCAGGTAGCCAAAGTATTGGAGTTTCAGCTTCAGCATCAGTCCTTCTGATGAATATTCAGGACTGATTTCCTTTAGGATTGACTGGTTTGCTCTCCTTA